CAGTGGAACTTGCAGCTCTCAAGTGAGGCAAATCCTTTGCTGTGATGTTATCAAACCCAGGAAGCGTCCAAGGATTACTATTGGTTGTTCTTGTGAAATGAATCCTACTTAGGCAATTCAGTAGCACTTATAATTGGAACAATGTAGAGAAGATTGACATGGAGCTTCCATTGGTGTGACTTTCAGATCAAAGAGGCATCTATTGATTCAGTTCTGTTCAGTTGTCCTTTATTTTGCCAGTTGTAATATAGAAGTGCCTGTGATGTGGTCTTTGCTGTCAGCTAGTTCACCATCGAAGGGGCAGATTTGGGGCAAATTTCATTTACTCTCCCCTCCTAGAAGGTAGTGAGGTGTCTACCCTGTGGTCATGAATAAATATTATGGAAGAACAAAGTAGGAAGCTCTTATTCCTGCCTATTGGATTCAGAGATGATTCGCCAAGGAAGGGACATGCATTTTTCTTATTCTTCTGATTTATTATTATTTTTAATGTATACAGGCTCCCTTCGCAACTTTGCCATGCTTAGTCCATCTTGGTTTTCCCCTAACGTGCCTCCAGAGGGGTCCCACATAGAGTGGGGACCCAGTACATGTTTCTTGGTTGGTTGATGCAAGTCCTTCCTCGCCGGGCACCAGACACCCTCTTCTGCCTCACCCCATGCCATTTTCTCCTGGGCCTCATGCTGATTACAGCATCCTGCCTTCGCTTTTTCCAGTGTTGCAAGTTACCTCTCATCTCCTTGTGTCTTTGCACACACTGTCTCCTGCCTGGCCAAGTCCTGTTTATTCAGCTTCAGCCGCGCTATCCCTAATTCAGAAAGACCTTCCCTAACTACTCACCCCACCTCTCAAAATTAAATCCCCTCTGGACTGGATTAAATGCATCACAGAGCATCTGTTCAATAGAATATTAGAAGGTCATTTAAAAGAATAAGATATATCCATATATTGATAAGGACAAATAAAAGCAAGTTGTAGAACAACATATATGTAGCGCAATCCCATTTGCAAACATTTTGTAAAAGGACATGTGCACTCTGGTATGCATATATTCTTTTTAGTAAATATATACAAGAAATTGTCAACAGTGATTACCTCTAGGGCAATGACAAGGTCGCGTGGAAGGAAAATTTTTCATTTTAAACTTTTCCATAGCATTTGAATTTGTTACCACCTATAATGTTACTTTTATTTTAGAAAAATAAACCAGTTAGATCTCCCTGTTATTATGTGTCATAGAATCCAATTAGTTTCCTTCCTAGTGCATATTTTAATTTATGAGCAGTGCATTTATTTGTGTTTATTATCCTCTACCAGACTGGTGCTCCATGAGACGAGGGCTGTGTCTGTTCGGTTAGCTGTTATTGACATCACCTAGCACAGTACCTTTCACATGGTGTGTGCTCAGTCAGTATTCCATGAATGAATGAATGAATGAACGAACGAACGAATGAATGAATGAACGAATGAACGAACAAACGAACGAACAAGTAGACAAATGGAGTTTCCCTACAGCGTGGCTAACTGGGCACCATAGTGGGGGAGACAGGCACTTGAACAGCTCATGAGATAGCTAGCATAGAGGCAGGGAACGAGCACACAACACAAGGGAGGGCCCTTTAGTTAGGTGGTCAGATCTGGGACAGTGAGCCCTGGGTGCTGTGGGCGAGAATGGCCCTGCCTGCCAGGGAACTGAGACGAAGGATGAGGTTACCAGCTCCCATGGCATTGGGGATGTCACAGCTCTCTTGCCTCACATTCCCCTTTTCTGGGGCTATTCAAGGTGCTCGGCCACCTCTTTCTCCTTGGAGCTGGTTTGATAAGACATGGGGGGTGGGGAGTAGAGTCTCTGGGCTCTCTGGTGGGGGTGCACCTCTTTCACTCCGCTCCGTTTGGCCTTGTCGGGGTATATGGCGAGGACTTAGCTTATTTATAGTTATTGGAATCCAGAGAAATGCCCCAGAACAGAGGACATTAAGTCTCAGGCAAAGTAAAAGATGTCGGTACTGCAGGCAGTTGTCTCACCCTCCACTAGAAGAGGAGGCATCTTGGAAGGCATTTCACATACGAAAAGAAAGCCCTGGGGTGGGGGATATGGCAGAGTCCGGACATTGCAGCCACATTGGAGGGGGAAGCTAGGCTTGGTTATTCCAGTTTCCCTCATGCAAGCGGCTTAATCTCGCCTAGCCTCAGCATTCTCTTCCAGAAAATGGTTGTCACCAGTGGGAGTCAACGAGAAGACGAAGGTGGAGCTATACAGTTTCTCTACATGCACAGTATTATAATATCTGTTACATCTATAAGAACAGTTGAATATTCATTATGTACTGAGCACACTGTGCTTAGTGTTTTATAAAGATTATTGCATTTCATACTTAAAACAACCATATGATGTGAGTGTAATTATGACCTTCATTTTATGGGTGAGAAACCAAGGAGGCACTGGGGGATAAAGTCACACAGCTAGGACATGGTGGGGCCAGGATTTGGAACTGACCATCCTGCCTCCAGAGCTATTTTGGAGGAATCCTATACACCAGACTTTCCTTACCTCATGGCCATTGCTAATGTTCCTAATATTAGCAGCAGAGGAGAAAAGAAGAATAAAGTAAACATAATAGTTGGATTTTTAAAAATAGCTCTTCACCAGTACCAGAGTGACTCCTGTCGTCCCCTCACTGTCTCTGTCAAAGTCGTGTGCAAAGTCGTGTGTCACAGAGAATCAAGCCGGCCAGCAGTTCCCATTCACAGGTTAGGTCACTGTCGCTGACTAGAGGCAGGGCAGGATCATTCCTTGTAGGTAGTTTAGTGAGGAAGCAGATTTCTCAGGTTCATTTTCTTTTTTCCATGTTTGCTCATGGTGTGTGTGAGAAAGACAGGACAGGGAGGAAGGCAGGAGAGAAAGAGAAAAAAGAATTCCCCAGAACATATTATGTACACATAAGTACTTGTCTGTGATTCTAAATCAGAAACTGTAAAATCAGTAAAATTGTGAAGTTCTTTGAAGTTTGCCCAAAACCTGCTCCACGGCCACCTGTTCCACTGGGGGCCGGGAGTTGGATGGCCTGCCTCTGCTGCGATGGCTCAAGCTGTCACTGCACCGGAATGTTCCAGCTTGCCTTGGCCTGGCTGTCATCGCTGGCTCTGTCCCACTCAGGCAGTTCACCGGGTTCTGCTGGGCACCAGGCTTCCAATTAGAGAGAAATCCCACTGTGTGGCCAGCCCCACCAGCGCCACTCTGAGCGGCCCCTTTGCCAAGGCCCGAGCTGACCTCTGATCTGTCACAGATGGGCCAGCCCCACACTCTCTGTGCACATTTGGAGGAGGGGGGTAGAGACGAAGAAGGAAGCCCGTGGGGAGGGAGAGTGGACAGCGGGCAGAAGTGTAATTCCTCAGAGCTCCGAGAAGCTGGGCAGAGTTGACAGGACCCAACTGCTAAAGTTGTGGAGGGAAAGGGGAATTTGGGAAGACTCTGTCCTGAGCCCCAAACTCAGCATGGGGCGTTTACTTACCAACTTCTGAATATTCATCTCAGGCTGGACTCCACACTCTAGGAGAGCCAGGAGCAGCTAACTGGCTCACTCCAGAACTGTCACACTGCCGATGGCGCATGGCATAGCCAGCTTCCTCCCTGTCCCTCTGCAGGGCCTGTGCGGGCTCACCAGCCTGGGGAACGGCACTGCCGGCAGCCGCACAGTGAGCTGTATTAATCACTCAGAGCGACAGGGAAAAAGAAGCTAAATTTCTATTAGCATAAGAAATAGAATCTTAGAGAATTCCATCTCTTAATTCTCTAACAGGATAGAGAGATACAATCTAAGCTTTGAACAGCTCTTTCTAGATATAGGACTTGGTGAATGTGGTTCATTATTTTGGGAGTGGTATATGTGTCTCTTCTTTATTTTCCCTATTGGCGATTTCTTTTTTTTTTATTCATTTTCACTCTTTTTATCACTTTCTTTCACTGGCTGTCTGTTTAATTTTCCGTGTCTCTGTCTCTCCCTTGCACACTCGCTTTTTCCAGGTACAACATCTGTTCCTGCACAGTCAGAAGTAATAATAAAGACACCAGGCTTGGGACTGACGTTTATGTTCTCTGGCTTAGCTTGACTGGAAAGCAAATTCGCACAGTCTAAACAACGCATAGCCTGAGAATGGCAAGGGTCTTCTCAGGTGTTCTTGGAATGATTTTGTGCCTCTTTTAAAAAATAAAATTCAATTCAATCCATGGCAGCAGAAAGGAAAGGTTTCTTCGCTAATCTATCCTCTCTGGGAGTTTTCCTTCTTCAGAGAAGGAAAATCTCCACAAAATAGTTAGGAAAGTATGTTAGGATCCACATCATTTATTACATTAGACCCGGCAAATGGAGACCCTGATCCCTGACACAATGTCGGGGGCCAGGTTGTATCATCAGTGGGAAACACCCTTCAGAAGCAGGTTAAGGGCTGTGACAATTCCACCCTGGAGTTAACGCACACAGAAGATCTAGGTCGTGAGGAGGTGGCACCACAGTCACATCCACTTTGTGACACTACATCTCTGCTCCTTGCAGGACCACTCGTCAGCTCCCTTCTTTCCCCTCCTCTCATGTAAGCCCTTCCTCAAGTGCTGTCTGCGACTCTCTCATTTCTTTACATTTCCCCTTGGAGATCCATTCCAATGACTCCTAGCCTAGCACATGCATCAGAATCACCAAAGAAATCTTGGGGAAAAATACAGATGCCTGAACCCCACCCAGAAGATTCTACCTCAGCAGGTTCTGGGCTGAGGCCTGGGATTCAGAAATTGTTGAAACTCCACCTCTGATTCTAATGTGCACCCTCATTTGCCACCGTGGCCCTAGCCTGGGAGCCCCTGGAGGCCAGGCACTGTGTCTGAGTGTGCATTCTGCCTGGCCACAGCCCCCTGGCTGGCGTGTTGAAGGTGAATAAGAAAGAAAGGGAGAAGCAGTGAGACTCCTATGTGCTGCGGACAGTTTTGCCTCCACCTCTCATTGCAGATATTCCTGTTATTCCGGATCTGGAAGAAGTACAAGAAGAAGACTTTGTTTTGCAAGTGGCAGCCCCTCCCAGGTAGGTTAAAGTAGGTATGAAGTTGGCAGGGAGGCAGAAAACATGAATTGATAGACTCCAAATATCATCTACAGTGGACCTTTGCTGCCCAGTGTATATTGAGAACTTTCTGGTGATGGGCTCCATCCCAGGGATCCCATTTTGTTAGGATGTTTTGTCCCCATTCTGGTCATCCCCAGCTGCACGTGAGCCTCTGGGGATGGTAGCCCAGCAGGCACTCCTGGCACTGGGCCTGCCTGTGGGTCCCACTCACAGTCTCCCTTCCTGCAGTGTCCAGGTGAACCGGGTGATGACCTACCGTGACCTGGACAACGACCTCATGAAGTACTCGGCCTTCCAGACCCTGGTGAGTGGAGCAGCTTCTGCACAGAGGGGCAGGCTCCAGGCAGCCTCCGTAGAGAGGTTTCTCAGCTCCTTGAGAGCTGTACAGCACCTCCTCCTTGGGTCCCCGGGGCTGCCTGGCAGCACACTTTGCTGGAGGGATTATCCTCAGGCATCTCACCTCTACACCCGGCATATTGCAGCGTCTCCCATTGCAGGCCTCCGCGGCTGCCCTTGGTCCCTGTGGATATGCTGCTGGAAGGGGTGGCCCTTTCCCCGAAGCACGCCCAGCATGGAGGGAGCTGTTGCTTTCCCTTGTCGCTCAGTGGCTGTGTGGTCCACTCATGTTTTTACTCTCTTAGTAAGGCGTTTCTATGGATCTCATTTTGGGAAATTCTAACACACACAAACTGATCCTCCATACTTTAGTTGCAAGAGATAGGTAGCTGCTGCGAGGTACCCAGCCTGGCTTTTTTTGCATTCACAGGATGGCGAGATCGACCTGAAGCTCCTCACTAAAGTCCTTGCACCAGAGCATGAAGTTCGAGAGGTACAGTAGCAGCTTGTCATTCTCATAACTGGCCGGCTCCTCAGGCTGACCTGTGCCCCTGAGGCCCAGATAGAAGTTAGCCACCGTTGAGGGGAAAGGCTTTTTTTTCTTGTCTTAACCAGCGATGCCCCTCTTGGCAGGATGACACCAGCTGGGACTGGGACCATCTGTACACTGAGGTGTCCTCGGAGCTCCTTGCCGAGTGGGACCTGCTACAGACAGAGAAGGAGGATGCTGCAGGGCAGCCCAGGCACTCCTGAACCCATAACCTCCACTCTGCAACAAGCCTCAAACTACAGCAAGCAGCTTAGGATTTTTACATGGAATATTTTGTAATAAAAATATTTATTTTCAGTAAACCACATTGGATCATTTGGTGGAAATAAATTGCTTTATTCTGTGGCCATCTCTTCCATTTCTTTCCAGCCCCCTCGTGGAAAGATTCAGCACAAGGGAAGGAGGGCAACCGTTAAACAATCTGATGAGAACTCTGACTGTTCCACGTTGTTGCAGAGCACGAGGGAAAGTTAGATTCAGGAGGAGAAGGAATGGGTGCTCCTGCGGGAAGTCGTTCCTTCTCAGGAGGTGGCAAGCAGCTGCCCGCTGGGGTTCTGGGGCAGGGCGTGGCGTGACACTTTCTTACTGTGGCATTCGGTGCCCGTCAGTTACGGCAGGGAAGCTGCACTGCCACCTTCATCGCCTGCTTGCAGGCAGCTGTAGCCGAGGGAGCAAGATGGGACTGAGGGGATCCGTTCTTCATTCACGTCAGGCTTCAGTGGCTGTTGGGACAGCACTCTCCTTTCTCCCCTCTCCCTGCAGCCCATGCCTGGCCTCCAAAAGCTGCCACCAAAAAGGTTCCCAGAGCCTTGTTTCTGGTTCTCATGGAACAGGGCCAGCCTAGCAGCCTTGAGAATTCCACAGAGACACTCTTGGGGAGCCTGGGCCTTCCCCTCCTCATCCGTTCAGATACTGCCCCTGTATCACAAGCGCCTCTTTCCAAGATGCACTGAGTTCAGGAGCAGAGCCCAAACCGTTTCGTAAGCAGAGACATCTTTTGTTTTTGTTTTTCTCTCTTTCTCCCCAAGACGTCTCATCTGAGGCCGAGACCTTTCCCTGCTTGCCTCTCCTTGCCGCTGCTTTGCTTTGCGTCAGGCCGGTGCAGGCTGGCAGCAGCCAGGGCCACCCTCAGCCACAGGGAGCATCAAGTGCTTCTCTTATCCTGCCTGGAAAGCCCTTCATTAAAATTCAGAAAAACAAAGAGGCTCAACACATCAAAAACCCACTGGGGGGTTATTTTTGTGTGACTACCATGCCCTTCCCTGGTGAGCCGCGTGGCTCCAGAACAGGCAGCGCAAATGCTTGTCTCTTAATTATAAACTCAGGGATTTAGTGGCTTTAGGGTCCCGTTTCCTCCTTTTCCAGAGTCATACTTTTAGCCCAGACAGCCCCTCTTTGGAATAATTCCCATGGCCACTGAAAAGTTTCCATGTAGGCTGGTTTTGCTTGAGTCTACATCATCCCGAAACCCAAAGGAAAAGGGCTGTATTTCTAGTCCCTTAATTACTGGCAAATTCAGCTGCCTTAGGACTCTGATAACCTTGGAGGTCTTTAGCCAGCCTGAGCAAGTGACTGACTTCTTTCCTCTCTTTATTTTATAACAGCAGCAGCAGTAAGATCTATTTGCTGAGCACTCACTACATGCCAGGTACGGGGCTCAGCACATAGGAATCAGCGAGCTTAATCCTCATAGCCTCCCAGGGAAGCAGATGCTGCGGTTAACCCATTTTACAGATAAGGAAACTGAGGCTCAGGTTAAGAGATTGCCCAAGATCATCCAGCCTCTTCGTGGCAGAGCTGAAATTCCAAACTAAGTTGTCTTACTCCACGGTGCTTTAACACCTGTGTTTTTGTTCCCCCTCTGCTGCCTTCAGCTGGGGAAAGCAATCTCATGTACAGCAGGCAGAATTAGAAGTTCGCTGGGAGAAAGAAGTTCTCTGCCACCATCGCTAAAGCTCCATTTTTGTCTTCAGGGTGACCACAGAACAGAGGGCTTCTGTCAGGCCGGCACTGTGAAGCCTGTTAGCATGGCTAAGCACAAGAGTCCTGGCCCCAGGGAGGTGGGGACGAAGCCAGTGACCTGGGTAAGCAACAGTTTAAGTCGAGCGAGCTGAGCTCAAACAACTCAGGTTCAGGCTGCATGTGACCAAGTCCCCTTTCATCTGTCCTGTCCCCTGGCCCTGCCGTCTCTGGGATGCTTCCTTTAGCATTTGAATGTCACTTCTTCAGAGTGCCTGGGGAATGAGATGTCATTCCAGTATCTACACCCTCCCAGTTTTTATCTGACTTCTAATACGTCTTCCTTATGTTATAACCAGTGGTGTCTTACACACGAGGCTTCAGAGAGCCTCCCAGGAAGAAGGCCCAAGAGGGCCTGGCAGAATCAACAAGCATCCCTGGGTACCAGCAAGATGGTTTTCTGCAGAGGCGTGGGGGGGTGGGGCATGAAGTGAGTCTTGGTGCTGCCACCTGCACGTGGCTTGTTGACTGGTTCTTTGTCAGTTTCTCCTAGATTGGCTCGTGTCACCTGTGAGCAGACTTGGGTAGTCAGTCCCAACTGGTCTCCTGGTGTCTTTGGCATTGCGTGGTAGCTGCAGAGATGCTGTCCATAGGCCGGGCTGTGATGAGGAAGTTCATTCCCTCATGAAGTAATTGATTGCCACATGCCACATGCAGCTAGGCAAAACTCCCTTGCCTTATAGAGCTTACATCCTGGAGGTGGAGGGGAGATGGACAAATAAAGTGAAGTGGTAGTTCATATGGTAATAAATGCTATGGAAAAAAATAAGGCAGGCACAGGGAAGCAAGTGCTGGGCTGGGGGATTGCAATTTTAAATAGGGTGGTTAGGGGAGGCCTCCCTGAGAGGATGACATTTGAACAAAGACCTGAAGAAGGCGAAGGAAGGAGCAGACTGGTGTCCAGGGAACAGTTCCCAGCAGCTAGAATAGTACTTGCAAAAGCCAAGAGGCAGTTGTGTGCCTGGCCCATTAGAGGAGTAGCAGGAGGTCAGGGTGCCTGGGGTGGGCGGCACAGGGGAGAGGACATGCTCTGCCTCGCTGTGCCCAAGGCCCGGGCTTATCACAGAAAGGCCTCTGGGCATGTGGGGTCCCTCCCTCCTTTGCTGAGGGCATTCTCAGGCCTCCTGGGGCTTGCCAGGCAGCCTTTGGAAAACTTCTCTCAAACTCCTGCATAGCTTCTTCATGCCTCGACCTGGAAGAAGCAGAGATATTAATGCTACATTGAGGGAGAGGGGAACAATGAGCTCTGTCTGCCACGGGCCAAAGGTCAGGTGGCTGCTGCCAGCTCCCTGCCAGGCAGGGATGTGCCCAGTACACTGGGCAGGCAGAGTGGCATCACAAGGCCCCTGTGTGGAATGCTCCCTGGAAACTTGCAGCTCCTGATGAAATACTCCAGCAAGAAATTCATCCGGGCAGGCGAGTAGCCTGCAGAAGGCATCTCTGTCCCTGACTGTTGGCTCATCTTTGCTAAAACCCCAGGACCCACCAGACGGAAACTGATGCTACTGCCTGGTCAGTGCTGCCTGACCAAAATGTGCTACTTATATAAATCAGGGCCTTTCTATTTAGTGGTTATGGGGGCTTCTGGGCACATTGGTGCTGGTGACCTAACACAAGGTCGTGTTTGTTGCAGCAAGATATGGAAGCTTGGCACCTCTCCCTGCTTGCCCAGGCATAACCGTGCTTTCCTCCTGGAGGCCAAAGAGCCAGTGGGGCAGTGGACAGGTGGGAGAAAATAATAGTTGTGAGGACCAAAGTTTCTAGAATCAGGCAGGATTGGGTTCCGGTCCCAGCTCTGCCACTAAGCAGCTGTGGACCCTCGAGTGAGTTACTTTCCCTTTCTGATCCTGTTTTCTCATCTGGGAAAATGGGATAATATTAGTACTATCCTCTTAGGATTATAGTGCCCCGTAAAAGCTAGCTGCTGTTATGAGATTTTGGAACTGGCTGAGATGGAAAAGTGAATGCAGGAAATGTCACATGAGATGCTTTATAACAACAGCACCTGTTTTGCTAGGGGATACGACCCTCGTCTCCCCTCAGACATCACTTCTCAGGGTAGAAGGATGGTTTGGCACCAGGTTTTTGTTTTGTTTTGTTGTTTGTAACAACTTTATTGAGATATAATTTGTGCACCATAAAGTTGAAAGTGTACAATCGAAAGTGTACAACTCAGTGATCTTAGTAAATTTATGGGGTTGTGCAACCATCACCATAATCCTGTTATAGAACATTTTTCTCATTCTACAAAGTTCCCTGTGTCCATTTGCAGTTAATCCTTGTTCCCATCCACAGCCGTAGGCAAGCATGGATCTGCTTTCTGTCTCCATAAATTTGCCGTTTCTGGACATTTCCTATAAACGGGCTCGCATAACGTGTAGTCTTTCGAGTCTGGCTGCTCTCGCTCGCGCGGGCTTGGCTCATCCGCGCTGCGACAGTCATAGGCAGCGCTTGCTGCTGCTGAACGCGAGTCCGCTGTGTGGAGCACACCGCGTTTGCTAAACCATTTGCCAGTTGATTGACATTTGGGTTGTTTCCAGTTTGGGGCTATTATGAATAATGCTGCTGTGGACATCCGTGTACTTGTCTTTGTGTGGACAGATGTTTTCATTTCTCCGAGGTAGATTCCTAGGAGTGAAATTGCGGGGTCTTATGTTTATGTTTAACTTTTAAGAAACTGCCAGGCTGTTTTCCAAGACACGGGTCTTATTTATGTGTGTGTTTGTTTTCGGAGCTTTGGAGGATCAGGATTAATTACGTGCTTCATTTTTTCTTCTTTCCTTAATTTTTTTTCAAAGGTCGATACTGAGTTTGGAGGAGGCACGTTCTCCTGATTCCTCCTTTCCTTCCTTCTTCCTGTCATTCAGTTACTCTCGGTTTTGAGAACATAGAGCTCATCTGTCTGTTTTCCTCTAGCCCGTAAGGTCTTCCCGTATAAATCTGGGTATAGTTTGCATTTCTGTCAAGCTCCACGCATAGTCCAGGAGTTCAGAGTCAAATAAGGCATGGTCCTGACCTCAGGACGCTCACAAGCTCATAGAGAAACAGACAGGACCTTTCTGCGTGAGTGGAGGAGCCCATATGACCTGCCGCAAAGCGCAATGAGAGGAGAGAGAGGGGCAGTTTCCCTCCACCAAGAAATAACAGAAGTGGGGTTGATTTGCTTAGAGCAGAGGCCGGTAAACTACCTCCCATCTTCCAAATCCAGCCTGCTGCTCGTTTTTGTAAGTTTTACTGGAACGTAGCCATGCTTATTTGTTTACTTGCTTATTTGCAAAAGCTCATTTATCTATGGCTGTTCTTGTGCCACAAAGGGCAGAGCTTAATT